GTTTATACTGACCATTTCTTGAAATTTATTGCCCATTTGCCAATGTTTGTTTTTAGAATTCAACATCTTATCTAATATGGAGTATCAGATAAAATCAGTTTTGGCTCTTTTCAGTGGTTGAAAACTGATGTCCTTACCAGTCACTGGAAATCTTAATGCAGACGTTTAGTAACATATTTTATCTCATGGGCAGGTCAACAATATCAGTGGCTATCTTCCAGGGCGAATTGTGTTCTTCTTGGTATGCTATACATTTCATCAATTTCTGAAAACATTTCTTTTAGGTGGCATGTAATAGTTCTTTGTGTTTATCCTATGCCCATATTTTTTGTAACGAATGCCATTAAGATTGAATACTTCTAATAAATTAGTAAGGAACCAAAGTAGAGATGCAGCTTTCTAGACTCACTTTGATATCAAGGCAATTCTTTTCCCAGCAGTTGCTATGTGGGATATTCTGATTTCTTATTACCCATAACTTTCACAAGTTCACTATTTTCATTTATCACTGTTTTGTTGAAATGGCAATTACTTTTAAAACAGTACTAATGTTTCAGTTGGAGTAGTTTACTTTGAAGGATTTGTGACTGAATGGCTCTGGACATTTTCACTGCACTCAAAGCTTAAGTTTAACTACCTATTAGAAAAGGTTTAATATTAACTGCTACATTGTAGGTAAATACACATCTGACACCCCGTCCAATATTGCTAACGAGGCATGGAGAGAGCCTTGACAATGTGAGAGGAAGAATTGGGGGTGACACTGTTATAAGGTACTTCATTTCACTTTTGGAAATCATATTCCTTTGCATCCAATTTTTTTCCAATCTTTTGACCGGCAGTTTAAGTTAAGGTCATCAGTTGCATTTACACCACTACTTTTGCTAAATGTTCCAAATAAACTTACTTTTAATTACATAATATTTTTGACAATTATGCTCTTTAGAATTTAAAATGCCCAATCTCTATTGGACATTCCAAAAAAGAAAAGCAGGGACAACAAAAGGAGACAAAGTGCTATTTTTGCTACCATTCATAATTTCACAAATAATGTTTCTGAAATATACATTTTTTTTCTTTTTGGATTTCAGTACTTCGTGTGTTGATCTGAAACATTATGTTTATGAACTCCCCAAACCCACTTTTTCCTGAAGGAAAACTTTACCTTCAGGAGACTGTTGTACTGCCATATGCTGTATGTGATTCTTTTACTTAATATGCAGCATCCCTTAAGTGTAGATTCAACTTTTGACCTTTTGTATAATAAAAAGTGTAACTGAGTGTTCGATGCACCTCCTTTATTAACAGATTTGTTGTTAAGCATTGACATTTATTGTCCAATCCTTTTCTTCTAACAGTGAGACTGGGAAGCTTTACTCAAAGAAACTTGCTAATTTTGTTGAAAAGCGACTTAAAAATGAGAGGGCTGCATCGGTAAGTTATATTAGTTTTCTATAAAATTGGATTGTATGTTTCTTCATTTGCATTTTCTCCACGAGAACTTTTATGTAATCTTCTAATGATTAGCTTGATAGATACAGTAAACTTCCTTAGAATATATGGTTCTAGAGTGTGTATTTTACAAAAATGATTATCATTTCACTACCTCACTATAGACTGTCTACACTTTGACACTGATTGGGAGTTGAGGATCAAGATTGACTGATGTATATTGACTCAGATGTTTTATCTGCTTATTTAAACTGTCAAGTTGAATTATTAATGCATTATTTTACATAACCTATTGGAATCCTTCAGTTATTATTTAGCTCTAGTACTGCATAAAATTGCTAGAAAGAATTCTATGTTATGTTAAGTAATTCTAATTGAACTAAATAGATTGAACCTTTGCTTTCTGTGGCACAGATATGGACCAGCACATTGCAGAGAACAATATTAACAGCAAGCCCAATTGTTGGATTCCCCAAGGTTGGCCTGTCTAAGAAAATTCATTTTCTGAATAGGGGTTTTGAATTTCTATCACTTCAAATCTTTTCTTGCAGATACAATGGCGTGCCCTTGATGAAATAAATGCTGGTGTATGTGATGGAATGACATATGAAGAAATAAAGAAGAATATGCCTGAAGAATATGAGTATGTTGTAACTGTTTATTAGATCTATTTTATCAATTGTCAGTTGAATATGAGTATGTTGAAGAAATAAAGAAGAATATGCCTGAAGAATATGAATATGAGTATGTTGTAACTGTTTATTAGATCTATTTATGTTGTAACCTCAGTTGTCATGAGTTGTTTCAGTAATAATATTATCAATTATGATTTTTATTATTAAAACTTCAGATCACGCAAAAAGGACAAACTGAGGTACCGATATCCTCGAGGAGAATCTTATCTGGATGTTATCCAAAGGTTTGCTGTCAATAGTCTCCAAAATCTTGTGAATATATTTCCCTAAAAGAAACTCTTGCTTAATGTGAAGTCTATTGGCTGTGTTGCAGGTTAGAGCCAGTGATTATTGAGCTTGAACGACAACGAGCACCCGTTGTTGTGATATCTCACCAGGTAAACAGTACAATACTCTAATCAATACTGTTTACCCTCCCTCCCACATCTTTGGATCTTATACTTGAAAGACTAACCTCCCTTTTTCCCCCCAAATTTCCTTCATAGGCGGTATTGAGAGCTTTATATGCTTATTTTGCTGATAGGCCACTAAAAGAAATTCCACACATAGAGGTAATTCATCAATCATGTCGAACTTCCAATCTAAAGAATTATATTCCTTTCAGTTCAGAAGTAATGTTACACTTTTATTAGATTTAGAGTTGTAGTGATTCTTGGGCTGATAATATAATTGCGGTGATGCCCTGGAAACATGGAACTGTTTCTGAGATGCGGGTTATGAATAAATTTAGCTGCAATTTGAAACTGCAGATGCCCCTTCACACAATAATAGAGATACAAATGGGAGTGACTGGCGTCCAAGAGAAAAGATACAAACTAATGTGATTAATCCATTGGAAGGAGACTTACTTTTCCAATATTCTGCAGCAACCCTTCATTCTTCCCTTCCATTTTCGTTTTCAATTTGTCAAGTGTAACATAAATTCCATACATATAATGAATTGAACATTTTTACTCTGCAATTGCGGTCGTGTTTGTTTGATGCTTTCATAGAGAATTGAAATGCCAGTTTATGATTGAAAGCTAAGGATAGGTCCTAACAATCAAAGTTTTTAGGAGTGTAAAGTTAAGCGTATCATTTAGAGCATAGGACTCCAGTAGAACACCCTCTTATTCTTCGAGGGCATATCCAGCTTCTCTTTCTTTCTTAGTGACTTTATTTTTTGTTTCAAATGTTTTTTTTTTTTAAATAAATATAGTTAATACCATCTGGGGTAATGTAGTGATTTTGCTATGTTTAGTCTTAAATTTTTAAATTGATCATCTTTGGTCCTTTCACTTTTAAATTGTTACCATATGTGGTCTAAATTAACCATCCATGGTCCTTTAATAATCAAATTTTATCCAGCTATGATCCTTCTAGAAGGATCACGATTGGTTAAATTTTGAAAATTAAAGGATCATGGATGGTTAACTTGGATTACGGATGTCAACAATTTGAAAGTCCAAAGAACAGAGGTGTTTAATTTGAAAATTTAGAACTAAATGTGACAAAATTATTATAAGACATCTGCATTAACTCTAAAAGAATATGTATAAAACATAATTTATTACAGGCTAGGGTGAAATGAATTATTGGGTCATCCCAGTAGTTTGGTATACGAATGAAACAGCGTTTTTGTAGTGTTATTATTAGTTCACATGCATGTAGGGTGGGGTCACGAATGGCTGCCGTCGCCTTCACGAGACCTTTAATTCAGCACCTCCCTCGATTTCCTCTGTTGTCTTCTCCTGCTCCAAACTCTAACGCTCCTCCGTATACCCTGGGATTCGTCCCCCTTACCTGTCAACACACTGACAAAACTACTCTTTACTTAAATTTCATACGGACTTATAATAATATAATAATATACTCTATTGTACCTTTGCGCTCTCCTTGACTCCTTGTATCTATCACCAACCATGTTTGCTCAATCTTTAAAAATAATAATATTGATTCATATCTACCCTCTTTTAAGAAAAATTATATTAATTAATTGAATTTGGTTCACGATATTGATTACAAAAATATGAGTAAGACAACTTCTACAACATATGCAACTAATAGCTTAATTGTTAAAACTTAAAAGTGTGTAGATTGAAGCACACTACTCAATTCCTATGCGAAAATGTTTACATAAACTCTATTCTTATATAGTAGCAGATTATTACATTGTAGTATCTGTTTGTATCTGTCTTTCTCAATATAATGAAGCACAAAGAGTCATTCTCAATATAATGAAGCACAAAGAGTCAACAACGCCTTCTATTCTTATATAGTAGCAGATTATTATTGTTCAAACATACTTTCTCAATCTAATGAAACACAAAAAGTCAACAACGCCTTGACTGAGGCTTGATTTCATGACCTCTCATACAGGAGAGGCCACTACATGTCATCTGAGCACAAGGTGCTTGACCATATGTATTATTACTTCGTATGTTATCATTTATAGTTGATTTTCCCCGACCATTTCCATTGTGAATGCATTAGAGTTAATGCTATATGGGTTATTCAAATATAGTGATTTTGACATGTTTACTTCTAAATGTTTAAAATGATCACCTATCGAACTTTCAAATTGTTACAATTCGTGGCTCAAGTTAACCAGTTTTAAAAGGACCACAGATCATGATTAACTTGGACCAGGGATGGTAACAATTTGAAAATTAAAAAGACCAGTGAATTTGAAAGTTTGGAACTAAAGGTTGCAAAACCAGTAGAAGGACCCGTGGTATTAACTCGAATGCATTATTATAATACATTCCAAGAAGCTCCACTTCCATTGTTTGTCAATTGTCACTACCCTTTTGTTCACTACTACACTCCCATCCAAACAATATTTCATTACTTAGAGCTACCTACTTTTTAGTTTTTATATATAGTACGTACTATATGTACGATGCCTACACTGCATACTCCTCCCCTACCGCCGATCACCGTCGTATCTTCTTCCAGAGAAGATTCCGACGACCCAGTGAAGGGTATGATCCACAGTATGCTATCGTACGACGGGAACGTCATGCTCGCGGCCGCCGTCATATCATTACTCCTTGTAATCCTCTTCGTCTTGCTCCTTCACCTCTACGCCAAATGGTTCCTCACTCAAGCGCGTCACCCGAGCGGCAGCTCCGTCGCGGTGCCTCAAGTTTGGGGCGCCGCCGGCGGGTTTAGTCCTCACTTTCACGCGTTCCGGGTCGAGGTTGAGCGCGCGTTTCGGAATTCTCCGGCGAAGAAACACAAAGGGCTCGCGCAGTCGGTGATTTCTTCGATTCCGGTATTTGCGTACAAGGGAATGGGGAAAGAAGATGGGAATGGATTTGAGTGTAGTATTTGTTTGAGTGGATTTGAAGATGGAGAAATGGGGAGGAAGTTGCCTAAATGTCGCCATGCATTTCATGCAGAGTGTATCGACATGTGGCTGTATTCTCAGTCCTCCTGCCCGATCTGCCGAGCTCCGGTGACGCCGCCTGAAATTACTTATACCAGTTCGCCGCCGGGAGACGATCGGAACAGCGATGGATGGAGGCATACGCCGTTGCAGATCATGGTTGAGGTTCCAAATGAAGAGAATACTGTAAATGACGACAGAAACGAGAGGTTTTCGGGAAGTAGAAGACCGTCTTTTTCCTCCGGCGCCGGAGCCGGGGATCTATAAGAAAGAAAGGAAATTCGTTTTTTCTTAATTTCTCAAAAAATTGGTTGTCCGGCCTAGACGGGTTAAAAAATAAATTTAGTTGTCAAATCATATAATATTATGTTAGGAGTGTTTTGATTTTGGGGGTGGGGGGGGGGGGGGTCGGTTTGGAGTCCGAGTAAGGATAAGCACTGAGCACAGGTCTAGCCTTGTGATTCATGTTCAGTTGAGTTACCATGATTTACATCCTCCAAATGCTCTGTCGGGTCGGGGTGTGGGGGCCTTAGGGTTGGAGTTCAGCCTTTTTAGAAGAAATTAAATATTATTAAAAATGCTAATGATAATTGTGAATATTTGAATAGTTTTGAGTGGTAAAAAATCACTGAATTTTCAGCTATGTTGGTTAGTAATGGATTTGAAACAAAGGTTTGTAGATTTTGTGTTAGAAGATGATGATGATGATAATGATGAATTGAATATCAATATAATATTGGAGAGAATGCACAAGACTTGTACGTAGAGATCCGAGGTGGGTGGGAAATAAAAGAATGGTAAGTATAGTACTTGGTAATAAGATAATATATGTTACTTCCTACTATTTATCATTTTCATTCATATTATACATCTTAACCAAATGTCAAGGTTGGATCATAATTTTGAGTATAGAATAGTCCTATATCTCTAGGCCTGCTATCTCACCTAATAAAAATGTCTACAATTCAAACAATGAGAATAATTATTATGTTCACCCAAAAAAAATCTTCATTCATATTATACATATATAATATAATTTATTTAGACTAAAAATTATGATAAAAACACAATGATATTTTGTAATTAATTAATACCAAATTTAGCCAACGCATATAATTTTTTTATTAAAAAATTTAGTCCTAAATGTTTTTATGTGTTTAATTGGGTAATGAATTTTGATAATTTTACCTAATTAAATCTTCTGTTAAGATAGTTTGGTAATATGATTAATTTTTTCTCTATTAATACATAATTTAGTTCTCAACTATAGTAGTTTTACTCAATTTAATTTTCAACTATAGTGATTTTTTTTTCGATCTAGTCATTGATTCCAATAGCCAATGACTCAATTAAATAAAATCATCGAAGTTCAAGACTTAATTAAGCATAAAAAGTCGTTTATGAATAATAATAAAAAAAAATATAGTCGATGACTAGATTAGGTATTAAGCCTTTTTGTAATTAAGACGATGCTTTTGGAAATGTTTGATAGTGTATCCATAGATAACTAAAATATAAAAATGAACTATAATTTTATGTGATGCAATATCAATTGTTTTCAAATACACTGTTGTAATTATAAAATGTGATCATGTTTTTTTAATTTTTCTTAATTTTTAACATTTTATCATTTTAGATTAATAGATGTAATAAGTCAAAATATTCTCATTTTGGTACTAATAGTTATTTGAACTATGATTATTAGTAATCCGTTGTAGTCTAGTTGGTTAGGATATTCGGCTCTCACCCGAAAGACCCGGGTTCGATTCCCGGCAACGGAATTTTTTTTTGTCCATTCCTGTTTTCTATTTCCTTGAATTGATTATGGGAAGTTTTACTTGGTAATGGGCCTTGGGCTCAAATCCATAAATATTTAGGTCACATTCACGAGTGGGCTTTTTGATTGGACCTATAGTCACAGGCCGGTTCATTAAATAGAAAATTTTATCGGTCAAGTAACAAAAATTTATTTAAATTTAAAAAGGTAAACAATTTTTCTTTTTTAAATTAATAATTTCATTTTCTGGACCATACGATGTTTCCCACCGACACGCATCGGACGAATTACGTACCATCCAACCTAATGGGTTTAATCATGCTCCCTATCTGCTGCATTTTCCAAATTATAAAAAAAGAGAGTTAATTATTGTAAATATAATTTTTTTTTTTAATGGTCATTATCCTATTTTCTAGGATCAAGTAGGGTATTTTGTTTTATCCATGTTGTATCTGCATTCTTAGGATGATCTAATGAGAATGGTGTTCTGGTGTTCTAGAGATCAACTTGTTCCTTTTCTCCCTCTTTCTCTCTGTATTATTATAGCGTACGATTATACTAAATTCACATGAGGATACATACTTTTCACAACACATTATTAGCACGACGCTCTACATTATTCTTGATGGCAGAGATTCCATATGTTTGCTTTGTTGCACTATGCGAGAAAAAACTTTAAAGAGCCTATTAGTTGGTCATTATGTTTCCATAGCGAAGACGAAAACGATGAAGGATGCTACTCAGGCTTCTCGCTCACCTTCCTGCACTTGTGTTCACTATTGTAACTGGATGATCGAATTCGAAGATAGTGAATTTTCTCTTTGAAGTGAAAGGAGTAGAGTGGAGTAGAAAGGCTACACAACATCCGAACCCCTCTCTCTCTTTATTTTATTTGCAGCTCATTTATATTTGCATACTTGATATTTGCTAACTCAGTTACTATTCATCTATCTCTCTAAGTTTACTTGTCTGGGTTTTTAATTTGTTATCTCCCATGTCTGCATGCAAGTGAAATTCATCACACATCACATTTGAGCTATTTCTAGCATATCTAATGTGTTGCATGTGCTAAACACTTCACTACCACTTCATATTCGAGCATAACACTTTACATACATTTAATCCGCTGTGCATTTCAAGTTTAATTTATTCACTTGCAATTATTTTGGTTAAAGTATTATTAATTTTAATTTGCTAAGAAAATTTCACACCCAATCGACACCAACACAAGTTACTTCCTACTATTTATCATCTTCATTCATATCATACATCTTAACCAAATGTCAAAGTTCAATCATTGGCTTTGGGTATAGAACAACCTTAAATCTTCTGTCCCACTTAATAGAGGTGCTTACAATTCAACGGGGGTATTATTCATTGTATTCGACAGTGAAAACTCTGGATATACTAAAAAAAAAAAAAAACAATTCATTCATATTTTACATATATAATTTAATTAAACAAAAAATTACGGAAAAACACAATGTTATTTTGTAATTAATTAATACTAAATTTAGCCAACGTATATAATGATTTTTTTCGATTTAGTCCTAAACGTGTTTATTATTATTGTTTTTTTTTGTTTAATTGGATAATGGACTTTATATGACTAATTTTTCCTCTATTAATACATAATTTAGTTCTCGACTATAGTAGTTTTATCTAATTTAGTTCTAAACTATAGTGATTTTATTTATTTATTTATTTATTATTATTATTTGGATCTAGTCATTGATTCTAATAGTCAATGGCTCAATTAAATAAAATCATTGAAGTCCAAGACCTAATTAAGCATAAAAAGACTAGGGGTGGGCGTTTCGAGTTTCGGTTCGATTTTTTTCGGTTTCGGTTTTTCGGTTTTGAAAAAGTTAAACCATTCGGTTTAACCTTAAGGTTCGGTTCGGTTTGAAACGGTTCGGCTTCAGTTCGGATTTAATTCGGTTTTGTGTTCGGTTCGGTTTAAGATTCCCAAATTTCAACATTTCCTAATTTTTCGAACAGACTATCAAACAATACATATTCACATAATCCAAATTCAAACTCTAAACATTATATAACAAAATAACAATCCAAAGTTCAAACACAATACTATGTACAAATTACCAAACATCAGTTAACGTTTTTGCACAACCGACTCTTCAGTTGGTTCAGTTGGAATATTTTTGTTGATAAGATGAATAATCATCTATCTGTATAGTTGATATTAAAAGAACAAGTGTTATCTGTATAGTTGATATTAAAAGAACAAGTGTCAATTACTATATAGTTAATTTTTGGACACAATCTGTCATTGCTAGTGCACTCGAAATATATTCTAGTACTAGAAAATAATTATAGTGCACTGGGAATCAAAATAAGAATGACGGTAAAGCACATTAAATTTATAGAAAAACATGAAACTAAGGAAAATACTGATATTGGAAATATAACTCAAGTTAGATATAATTGTGAGGTAAAGAACAATTGCGACAAACAACAAAAGTGCAATGTAGAAAAAAGCTATAAAGAAATCAAATAAAAAATTTAAAGTTCGGTACCAGTAAGAATGAGAACTGAACGGCGGAGCAGGCATCAAGGAACTTGGATTTACTTTATTATTATTATTATTATTATTATTATTATTATTATTATTATTATTATTGTTATTATTATTATTTATTAAAAAATTATATAGCATTCGGTTCGGTTCGGTTTTTGCCAAATCGTTCGGTTTCGGTTCCGTTCAGTACTAAACCGTTCGGGTTACAAAATCTCGAACCGTTCGGTTTTCTATTACTACTTCGGATCGGTTCGATTCGGTTCGATTTGGTTCGGTTCGGATAAACCGAACCGAAGTGCCCACCCCTAAAAAAGACGTTTATGAATAAATAAATAAAAAACTATAATCGTTGACTAAATTGGATATTAACCCCTTTTTTGTAATTAAGATGATACTTTTGGAAAGGTTTAATAGTGTATCCATAGATAATTGAAAATGAACTACGGAGTATTAATTTTATGCAATGCAATATCAATTTTTTTCAAATACACCGTCATAATTATAATATGTGATAATTTTTTTTTTTCATTTTTCTTAATTTGTAACATTTTTTCATTTTGGATTAATAGATGTATTAAGTCAAATCTTACCGGTTACTAATTGTTATTTGAATCCAAATATTAGTGTTCCATTGTAATCTAGTTGGTTAGGATATTTACCTCACTTGAAAAACCTGGGTTCAATTCTCAACAACGGGATTGATAATAAAAATTTTTACTTGGTACTTGAACTTTGACATATAGTTTAGTGATTTGTGAATACAGAGTTCAACAATTGGAAATATGAACATAGAGTTTTGTAATTGTGAATATAGAGTTGAATAATTATTTATTTATAATATAGAAATTATGGATCCAATTCCGTGTGCATCATGCACACGATTGCACAACATAATTAATTTGCCTCCAGAAATATTTAAAAACATTCTTATTTGATTTGCGTATTATTATTACATGATCATTTTTGTCCTTCATCAACAAAACCGTTTAAATTTTGCAAAATACAAGGATATTTAGGTCTTCAGTTATGATTTTTTTTTTCAAAAAATAAAAATAAAAATAAAAATAAAAATAGTAAGTCAAGACACTTTGTATAAAAAAGATTGTAATGTCCTTGTATTTAACGGTATTTTAACGATTTTGTTGACGTGAGACAAAAAAATAATTATGTCATAATAATACTAGGATCAAAATTAAAAATGATTTCCTAAAAAAAAATTAAATTAAAATGAACTGTCATTTATAAATCTCGAATAAAAAATGAACTTAATTAAAAAAAAAATACTAATCTACTAAAAAAGCAATTGTGATTTTACAATTGTTGATTTGATTCATCTTTTATCAACAAAATACAAAAAGCATTACAATTATTTCAAGGTGTTGCTATTTGCAAATTGATTTCTCAACACACACAAACTTACAAGAAGCAGTAGGGTGCATGGTGCAGGTTCAAATCATACTAGAAACTAAAAAAAAAAAAAAAAAAAAAAAAAAAAAAAAAAAGAGGAAGAGGTACTATACCCTAAACTCCTTAAGGTATTTTATGTAATGAATAAAAAGTCTCACTTAACACTTGTTTATACTAGTAAAGTGATATTTAATTTCTGCTACAAACATTAGAAGTTTAATTGGGTTTGAGTTTAACTTTTTATACGCAAAAGTGTACAATTTGGTATTGCATCTCAAAACTAGATTGGTTTTATTTACCTCCTTATGAGCCTAGGACGAGTTCATGGGGTTCAATAGATAGTTCGGCAAAATCGAAAAACTTAGGTTGTCAAAAAAAGGAAGTATATATGAATGTGATATTGTTTGTTGTAGGTACTAATGTACAAGCATTTAGAGCATCAATATCAGTTTGGAATTATTCACGATTTTTTATGAGCTTACAAAAAAAGAGAATAAACAAAGAGAAGAAAGAAAAAAGAAAAAAGGAAAAAAAAAAGGAAAATCATGACCACATCTGAGACAATTTTTTTTTTTAAAAAGAGTAACTGGAAACACGCCAGTGGGCGCGTGAACATTTGGACGTGCTCCCATGCGCAGTCAGTGTTGCAATGCATTCTCTCACATGGTGGCCCCCACAATAAACTTAAAATTGCAGGAGAAATAACTAGCAAAAGAGAAATGACTTTCTAGGTTGTCGAAAGTGCTCCGCAATATTCGTTTGTTTTTCGATCGTGGTTCCGATCGAGATTCCGATCGTGATCACGATCTGCTCTGCAATAGTGGCTATCTCTCTTGAACGTGGATCAGGAGAGTGTTCTCCCTAGATTTCTAGGGCCGTATATATATTGTGTTTGTGTCCTGTTCTAATGGCGATTATAATCTTGTTGATATTCACTGCACTTCTATCATCAACAAATCTTTCCACTACGTCGATCAATATGGATTCACGTTCGCTGGAAGAACAATGCGCGGCGTTGAAATTGGTAGAGGAGGAAACGGGTGGCCTGGCAGCGCCGGAGATGCCGGTTTTGCCCGATTCAGAGATTCACCATAATCTGGTGGGGCGTTTCCTCACAGATCGGCAGATCAAGGCTGAGCACATGCAACCGGTGTTGGCATCGGTGTGGAGGCCGGTCATGGGCATGTTCGCGGTCACCTTGGCTGACGATTTATTTTTGTTCCAATTTCCGCATCCCAGAGATATGCAGCGCGTGATCGATGATGGACCGTGGTCCTTCGACAATCAACTTCTGGTCTGTGAGCAGGTTCCGTTGGGCATCAGGCCTGAAGATGTCACTCTGAATTCTGTTTCGTTCTGGGTCCAGCTGCACGGGCTACCGGCGATGTATGCTTCGTCGGAATTTATTCAAAAAATAGGCGACTACATTGGCTCTTTTATTGCGCTCGATCCGCTTAATTTCGGCGGGAATTGGCGGAGCTTTTACCGGATCAGAGTGCGCCTTGACGTGTTGAATCCCCTGAAACGACGGATGAAGCTGCTACGCCGGGATGGAGAGACTCAATGGATCACATTCCGATATGAAAAATTGGGGACGTTTTGTTACTGCTGCGGTCATCTTGGGCACTCAGACAAGTTTTGTAAGATCGCGTATGAACAGGGAATCCTACCGGACGCCTTCCCGTTCGGAGCTTGGTTGCGCGCAGGGCCTCGCCGGCAGGTGAAACCAGTCGGGGCTCGTTGGTTGTTGTCGACAGCAGCAAATCCAGTGGCGTCTAACGCTACTAATGAATTCGGCGTATCGCCGGGTGCACTGTTGGCCATGGAGGAAAATCTCGCGGTCCATGGTGATCTGAAGAGGCGGAGGGAGGATGGTGGTCCAGGCGACGGAATGAACGCAGAGGATGTGAAAATGACGGAGACATCGCGAATTTCGGAGAAGGCGGGTCTGGTGGACCAGGCTCGCCCAGAGCAATGAGTCTCCTGAGCTGGAACTGCCGGGGTTTGGGTGGCACCCGGACAGTTCGAGAGTTACTGGGCATGGTGTCCAGACGGCGACCCAATCTCGTCTTCTTAATGGAGACAAAAGCTTTCGAATCAAAAGTTGAAGAGGTTCGTGTGAAACTGGGTTTTCACTACAAGAAAAATCGCGAATCGCGACGGAAACTATTCCGTCGCAATATAGCAACGGATAATGCGACGGAATAGTTTCCGTTGCAAATTGACGACGGAAATTAATTCCGTCGCAATTTTAGGCGCAAAGAAAAAATTAAACCCGCGAAATCTTGGCGGCAAAATATTCACGACGGAATTTGCGATAGATGTAAGTTACGTCGTTCATTTAGCAATGGAAAAGACGACGGAATTAAGTTCCGTCGCGAAATGGCGACGGAAATTGCGACCAAACTTTTACCCGTCGTGAAAAAAAATACTTTTTTTTTAAAAAAAATATTGCTACGGAAATAACAACGGAATTAATTCCGTCGCAATTGTTTCTTAAATTTTATTTAAGTTAAATAAATACTTTAGTTCTTGAACGCAAAAAAAATACCAATTTATTTCTTAACCTATTTCAGATCCAATTTATTTCCCTAAGCCCTTGCTACTTGCTAGTCCCCTCGCCCTCTCTTCTCTGCCTCAAAGCCGCACGCCAATCGCCGCCGTCCAAGCATCCTCGTCCCCCATTCAAGCATCGCTGCCGCCGGCCAAACATCGTTGCCGCCGGTCAAGCATCCTCGTCCCCTGTCCAAGCCTCCACCCTTCTCTGTTTCAGCAAGCACGCACGCCTTCTCTTCCCTATTTCAGCACGCACGAACGCCGTCCAAGCCTCCTCGCCGCCTAGCCTCGCAGTCTTCATCCCAGCCGCCAATCTCCTCCGCAGTCGCCGTCGAGGTCTCTCTTTAATTGTAATACATTTTGCAATTTTATTATATTAGGTTTGGATATTAAATTTCTGTAATTTTATTGTATTAGGTTTCAATATTAAATTTCTCTATATTTATATTTAATTTCTACAATATTAGATTTGAATATTAAATTTATGTTATTATTTTATTATATTAGGTTTCAATATTAAATATTAGAAGAAGATGTAAAAACAGAAGAGAAAAAGGAGTTGATAGCTTAATCTAACAATAGTAGGGATTGTTTGGTTGGAGTGAATTGGATTGAGCAAAACATGTCTCAGGCCAACTGGGAAGCTGATAAATGTATGCTTTATCACTAGATTTTTTTATTATTTTTTTAAAAATCTGTATAGATTATTGAGCTCCTATCTAAAATCTTGAAAGGTATTCTTTTATGTTTTTCTTTTGGGTATGCTTGGTCTTATTCATTCATATATTTATGGTGTTTGACCTTTTTGCTTGGTATTGATGTCAAGTGGTGTTTCTGGAGGCCATAACCTTCTTATGATACTTTTATTCTTGTCCTTTCACTGTCTCCCTCACACTCTCCGGCCCTAACCTCAGCCTCGCCGGACTCCTTGTCGAGTTTTCGGCCCTCAGCCATTCAGGTAATAATGTAATTTTTTAATTTCTTATACTGTTAATATGTTATTTAGTGTTTAATTAAGTAGGTAAATTTTTATATTGTTAATAAATCAATAATAGTTAAATTTTTATATTGTTAATACGGAGTATGTTATTTAGTGTTTGATTAAGTAGTTAAAATTTTTATACTGTTAAATTTTTAATAAATTGATTGCAATAAACTAACTCAAATTGATAATCTTTCTAAAGTTGCCCCTTTTAAGCAATCAAATTTTAATGCTCACATCCAAGATGGGTTATGTTCTGCACACTAAGGTGTCTAGTTTAATTATTCAAATCTGTTTTTTTTTTTCTTCTTATCCTTGTTGGTTAGCTTTGGAGTGAAAGAATTATAGAAATTGGCAAAGACTTTAGACTGTTTTCAAAGGTGGAGGTGGTGAGTTATAACCTCAACATCTCTTAACTATGTTATTACTTCAGTTTTTTTTTTTTTTTTTTTTTTTTTTTTTTTTTTTTTTTTTTCTATTCTATGTGTTTGAATTTATTATTCTTGAGTGTGGAATCTCATTTCCTTTAAAATAGGAATGTACTGGTGCTCCATTTCATTATTTTGGGTTAACTACTTAATCTTGGACTTACCACAATTATTCTCTATGCAAAGTGTATGCTCATATTTATCTGCCATGTTCTATTGTCTTCACCTTTTTACTTGGTGTTAATGAAGTGCTCAAAGCCACATTTGTCGTTCATGTATTGTAGTAGACATATTGGACATGGTTAATACATTATAAAACTGGAGTGTAAGAGGAGCGTGTTGGCTTCATTGCTTCTTTAGAGTGGAGGGTTGAAAAACTAATGATATATCTAATATATAAATTTCAGTTTCTATATTTATTCTAGTATCATCATTTACTTAGTTGTTTGTTTTACAGGGAGATGGGAGATTGTTCGTGTGAATTGTTTAGAGTGAAGATTGGTGGTGTCAAAACAAAATTAGTTCTAGTGGCAAGTTTTTTCTTAACCTCAAATATCAAATATTAACCTTCGAACTTTTCAGGCTGCAATTATTTGTTGTGATTTTATTTTGTTGGCAGAATTTCTGCAGTTAACTCTTGATGATGTTGCTTGTCTTTGCCTAAGTTCAAAGGGTTGACTACTACAATGACTGCTACATCGGATGTTAGCATTGGTTTGTCTTTGCCTAAGTTCAAAGGGTTGACTACTACAATGACTGCTACATCGGATAAATGAGCATTGGATTTTTTTTTTTTTTTTGTTTACTATTTGTTGGTTATAGGTGGTAGATTTTCATTACATGTATCGTTTTTTGTTATTTAGACTTGAATTGATTATTTTTAGTTACTAAATGTGGATTGATGATGTATTATTACTTGAAATTAAATGTTATTTTTTTATAATTAATTGTGTTTTACTATATCATTATAGTTTTACATTAATATTTTACAAGGTCATATTACTATTTAAAATTAATAATTATAAATAATTTTTTTAAAAAAATTAAAAAATGCGACGGAATTGCGACAAAATATATGTTACACTAAATGCGATGGAAAATAATTTTGTTGCCAAAATGCGACGGAATTGCGACGGATACAAAAAATGGCGATGGAATATTCGTTTCCAAAATGGCGACGGAAAAAGTTCCGTCGCAATTTTGCAACGGCTTATTCCGTTGCTAATTCCGTCGCCATATTTTGCGATGGAATTATTCCGTCGCGTACAAAAATACGACGAGCTGATAGACGACGGAACAGATTCCGTCGCAAAACGTGATTCGCGACGGAAAAATTCCGTCGCGATTCGCGATTTTTCTTGTAGTGTTTGAGGGAGCCTTGTGTGTGGAACGAATAGGCAGAGGAAGAGGTCTCGCGTTGTTCTGGCTAGACTCGGATGTGGTAAATCTTTTATCTTATTCTTGCAATCATATCGATGTGGAAGTGTCCATTCCGGGGAAACCCAAATGGAGGCTAACGTGTTTCTATGGGGAACCAGATCGGGCAGACCGACATATCACTTGGGAATTGTTACGACAGTTAAAGGAAAAATCCCCGCTCCCGTGGTTGGTAGCGGGTGATTTTAACAATATTTCTTGTTTATCAGAAAAGAGGGGCCTGCACTCTCATCCAACTGCATTGATCGAAGGTTTCAATGATACTTTGGCGGATTGTTAGTTACATGACTTGGGAATGACGGGGGGCAGATTTACATGGGTGAAGGGCCGTGGAACTGAAGCTTGGGTGGAGGAACGGTTGGATAGGGCGGTGGCAAACATGGACTGGTTGGAGCAGCACGGCGAAGCGGTGGTCAGTTGTATTTACACTCTTGAATCGGACCATCATGCTCTGTTTGTTGAGTTAGATCCGGCACTGGTCCGCACTGCTGCACACACTTTCAAATTTGAGTCCGCTTGGATTTTGGAGGAGGGTTGTGCGAAGGTTGTCGAAGACGCTTGGCGTTTGTCGATGGGCCAGAATTTCCAGGAGCGACTTGCTGTTTGTAGCGCTCACCTTGGCCGTTGGGGAGGTGAACATTTCCGGCAGTTTGGCAACAAATTGAAATCGCTCCGCCGGGTACTGGAGCGCTTGAAGGAGGACCGATCACCTGCTGGGGTGGAGGGTTTTCAGGAAGCTGAAAGGGATTTGCAGAAATTGATTCGGGAAGAGGAAATTTTCTGGAAGCAAAGATCAAAACAGTTATGGCTAAAACACGGGGATGCCAACACTAAATATTTCCATAACGCCGCTACCTATCGGCATAGACGAAACACGCTCACCCGAGTCAAGGACTAGCATGGAACATGGGTGGAAGGGATGGACATGAACACGGAAATTCACAGGTACTTTGATTACATTTTCTGTTCTGGGCCGAGCAATCCTGAACTCTTTAGTCATGTCCGGCAGCGCGTAACATCTGCGATGAATAACACGTTGTTACAGCCGTACACGGTTAAAGATGTCAAGACTGCCCTTTTTGATATGGCTCCTGAGAAAGCGTCGGGGCCAGATGGCTTGTCCCCGGCTTTCTTTCAGCATTTCTGGCCGGTGCTGGGTCATGAAATGGCAATGTTCATCATCCGGTGCGCGGAAACGCGAGTTTTCCCCGCGGGGCTAAACGAGTCAAATATCGTTTTAATTCCGAAGAAAAAGACCCCGGAAAAAGTTTCGGATTTACGCCCTATTGCTCTGTGCAATGTGGTGTACAAAGTGCTTGCTAAAATGCTAGCTAACAGGCTAAAAGGGGTGTTGGAACATGTCGTGTCTCAGTCGCAGAGCGCTTTTGTACCCGAAAGGCTGCTAACTGATTACATAATTGTGGCCGGTGAAATTGGCCACTTTCTACGGAGAAAGACCAATGGGGCCATGGGTTGGGCGGCGCTAAAACTAGACATGGCCAAAGCGTACGACCGCATGGAATGGCCGTTTTTGGAGGGAATGTTACGGGCTTTGGGTTTTGCCGGGGACTGGGTGGATCTACTGACGGTTTGTGTCTCAACGGTGAATTATGCTGTCCTGGTGAATGGGACATCAGTGGGGCATGTCTGTCCCACTCGTGGCATAAGACAGGGCGACCCTTTGTCCCCTTATCTTTTCATCCTGTGTGCGGAAGGGCTTTCAATCTTATTGCAACAGGCAGAGGCCCGGGGTGATATCCACGGAGTGAGGGTAGCCCGGGGTGACCCGGCTATCACTCATCTTTTTTTCGCTGACGACAGTTTGTTATTTTTCAGGGCAACCCATCACGAAGCTGCAAAAGTCAAGTCATGCCTAGACTTTTATAGCTTGGCCTCGGGACAGCTCATTAATTATGATAAGTCCAGCGCGGTCTTTAGTGCCAATACCAGTGCAGATAGCCGAAAGATGGTCACGGATTGTGTGGGAGTTCGGACCGCTACGGACCTGGGTCGCTATTTGGGCCTCCCCTCTGTTCTGGGACGCAACAAGACTGCTTGTTTTCGCTACATCGAGGATAATATCCGGACACGTATTGATCTGTGGACACACAAATTCTTGTCCCGTGCAGGAAAAGAAATCCTTCTGAAGAGCATAGCACAAGCGCTCCCGATTTTTACAATGTCGATTTATTTGCTGCCTGTGCGTGTTTGTGACACTCTGGAGAAGGCTTTTAACAGATTCTGGTGGGGGGGGGGGGGGGGGGGGGGGGCGGTGGTACGGGAACTCGGGGAATACACTGGTTGAGCTGGGCTCGCATGTGTAAGCCAAAAGCGGATGGTGGTCTCGGCTTCAAACGACTCCATGAATTCAATTTGGCGCTACTGGCTAAAAAAGGTTGGCGGCTATTAATCTATCCTGATTCTTTGGTCGGTAGGTTGCTCAAAGCAAAATACTACCCAAAATCAGACTTCATGGACGCCCAAGTCGGGGGGAACCCGAGCTACATTTGGCGTAGCATTATGGCGGGGCAGAAGGTGTTACGGTTGGGTCTAGCCCGGCGTATTGGAGATGGCCTGGATACGGACATTTGGGGATGGAACTGGTTAGCTGATGCTGCAAAAGGGCCTTTGACCACCCCTTGCGTGACGCCAAGGTTCACGGTTTACTCGACGCCCGGGGGAATTAGGACGTGCAGATCCTCCGAGACATTTTCCATGTGGAGGATGTGACGCAAATCATTGCAACACCAGTTTGCCCATTATATAAGGACTCCTGGAGATGGGTCGGTGATGTACGAGGACAGTATACTGCGAGGCATGGATACCAGCTACTCATGGGCGAAGGTAGCCGCCAAGTGGACAATGAGACCTTCCAGGCGTGGAAAAAGCTATGGTCCCTGTCAATACCACCAAAAGTAAAGAACCTGTTATGGCGATGTGCAAAGGGTGTTCTTCCGGTGCGAGATAATCTGCGGCTGAAGCGAGTGTGGATTGGGGGGGGGGGGGGGGGGGGCTGTCCGTTGTGTGGTTTTCCGACAGAGACAGCAGAACACCTCCTGGGCGATTGCGTGTTTGCGCGGCATTTGTGGGCGGACGATAACGTGATGCAGGGACAACAATTGGCTGCTTTCATGAACGCTGTTATTGGCAATCAATCCTCGAACTCGGCGGTAAAGCTTGCGGCCATCTTCTGGACTGTGTGGTTGGCTCGAAACGATGCTGTGTGGCACAACCGTTTGCCAACGAAGGAGATGCTGAGTCGACAGGTGAACACTCATTACCAAACTTGGGAAGCCACGTATTCTCCAGCATCACGCTGCTCTGCAGGCGGGCTAGAGCATACGACAGCGTGGACTCCTCCACCTTTGCATGCAATCAAATGTAACGTTGACGCGGCTGTTTTTTTGAACGGTGCGAGCTACGGTGCGGTCATGCGTGACCATGATGGTCGCTTCGTAGCAGCGAAGAGTGGTTGGTTTGATGGTGTAACGGATCTGTTTCTGGCGGAGGTTCTAGCGGCCAAGGAAGCACTGACTTGGCTGAAGGCCAACGATCGTAGAGTTTATTTTCTTGAATCTGATTGCCTTAATTTTTGTAATCCTTTTCATTCCCGTTGTGTTGATTTTTCGTACGTAGGTCTTTATGTAAAGCAATGCTTATCGATTGCTAATGATGTTGGGACCGTCTCTGTGGCCCACATCAAAAGGACAGCGAACCGTGTCGCTCACGAGCTTGCTCGGGCAACCGTTTCAGATTCTGTCTCGGGTGTGTGGGTGTCTACCCCGCCGCTCTGTATTGTCAATTTTCTGAGCTGTTAATGGAAGTTTCTTGCGTTTGTTTCAAAAAAACTAGCAAAAGAACTCTTCTCCACAACTGTTAAAAACTCCTCCTGGATTTATTGATATGCAAAAAGTCAATAATATCCATAAGTGTGGATACTCTTAAAAACTTGTAGGTTAGTTGAGACACATATAATGTAATTTACCTTCTCCACTAATCTATAGATCGAACATGATCAGTGAGAAGTCCTTAAATTTAAAGTTCAAATTTAATCGCGCGGGCATATATCATCACTTTGATTGAAGGTATTGAAAGAGTTGATCTTTGACAATGGTGATCTCTTCTCAATTGTTGAATGCGGTCCACAAAGAGAAACTATGTATCCAACAGTTAAAACAAGAAGGAATATAATTAAATAAAATAACGTAATTTTAATTAATATAATGTTGTTTACATTATCGTTATGATTGAAAAATATAAAAGTACATATATATAGCTTTCAGGTCCCCAGTTACTAATTCTTATGAGTTGTTTACATAAGCTTGTAGGTCCAATTATTAATGTGCAATTATATATAATAAATTAAATAAAAGTTATATCACCAAGGAATCTGTTTATTAATCCATACGCATCACCTACTGAAACATCCACAAGCAACAACTATCCTATCAATTCGTCTGTTTCCCACTTCACATGACACTATGACAGTGACACCCAATTTCTTTTTTTTTTTTTTTTTGTTTTTTTTTTTGTTTTTTTTATAACAATTTTGGAAAAAATAGAAATAAAACCACAATTTATGTACAATATGGTATCATAAAAAAATTATTTTTAATGATGTCTTTCACTTTATTCTTAGCAGTAACTATTGTACAACTTATATTGTTGATTTTCATATTATTAGAAATTCAAAATCTAGCAATATAATTCATAAAGAAGTTAATTTGAACCCATGGAAATGTGGATGATATGGCAGGATCTCTTCTTCTTTTTAAAACTTACGTGATAACTTTATCGGACTAATTCTAAACCCAGTCATAAAACCCCGCTCCTAAAACTCTGCGGACCTTTTCTTTCTTAACTAGAGGTTCTGATCTGTCTGCAGATTCATTGTCATCATGTTTGGATAGGATAATCTTTTCCTTAAAAAAAAAAAAAAATACTTTGTACATATGGTGGATAAATTGGATGGCAAAAATAGAAATAAAACCCAAAAAAAAAAAAAAAAAAAACCTTATTAGTAATGATGAATGCATCGTTCACATATACCTGTATTGGCCCATGCATATCAATTGTATCTTTTTGTTCGAATTAATAGTTATACATGCATACTGCAAGTTGCATACAATAAGCCAATAATGATGCAAACCTTTCATAGAAGGGAGACATTGTTTGTCAAATGAGACAAAATATATAAAATTATAAATACATGATTACATATGAAGGGCCAGATTAAAGTGAGAATAGTATCTCGTATAAAAAAATGTGCTCATATATTTTTTTTGGCTAATCGGTGTCTGAAAAATAAAGAAAAATTGGGACTAGTTTCATAAATATTATAATTTCTAAAAATTTGTAATATTTATGAAACTGACACTATTTTCTTTTTTGGAGATAAAACTGTTTTTATCCTCTATTTTCTTATTTTTCCATTATTGATTAACACAGATAGATGGATAAAATTAATTCACATTCTTTACATTAGCGTTGTTCTCGTATGATCCTTCTTCAATGCATGTTTCATAAGTCTCTTAAAAGAACATCAATGGAGTTGGGTTCTCTAATTTTTGGAGATGGGGTCCCCAAGTTGGTGTAGGGTATTGGTTGGACTCCTTGTGCACACAGTAAGATGGATGACAGACTAAAAGACTACTCATACAACTCGAATTTACAACAACAACAACTATTATTATTATTATTATTATTATTATTATTATTATTATTATTATTATTATTATTATTATTATTATTAATGTAAATGCATTTTTTTTCTTTTGAATGTGTATTGCATGTGTTCCCGTTATGCGATTCTAATGCTGGAATTGGCCAAGCACCTTGTGCTCAGAAGACACCTCTGTGGCTCTCTTTGAGGGAAGGTCACAACTGGATCGAATCCGG